GTGGGACACGCTCGTATTAGTCCCTTATTGTGAGGTTGGAGTTATTTTAAAGAGGAAAAAGGGTGTACGTGGTCGAATAATTGTATGTAATAAAAAAAAGTTAAGATGGAGCACTTTTTAAGGTTATAATTAATAGTGAATTCAATGAGTTCTTATCTCATTAATAATAGGTTAAATAATGGCTATTAATATAACTGCGTGTGATAATAGATCGGGTGTTTTATTGGCCATCAATTGACAATTGCTTTATTACATATTATCTACTCTGGAAATTTTATAATATTAAAATTAGATACGTTAAAATATTACTACTTGTTATTAGTTATTTTTAATATACGTTATTATTAATATTGAAAGAGTATGATAAACATAACTAACCTACCTATGAGTTATAATTAATAGTTTATAACCATCGCTTATAATTTATAATTACAAAATTATTTTACCTCGTTCGCATACAGGACGAACCAAGGCCTAATTGAAATTTACATAGAACCTCATGTGTAATAATATTCATCATTATATACTCTATATTTATTGTGCTTTTTACGTGGTTCATTTTTTCTCCTGTCAGAAAGTCACGTTAACCCCCGTAAACGATAGGTTTTAAGGATTTGATATTCTATTATACATCCAGGGATTTTGTGATGGCATCGAGTGTCGTAGAAAGGAATAATGGGGTAGCGATTGGATTTCACTTTAATGCGCTGGAAATCATTGATAATTGAAGTCCAGGATCCAGACAAAGATAGATTGTTCAAGATGTTTTGAGGAAATCCCCATGATGCACGTGTATCGAGAATGGCCGATGACCAAATAAATGTCCATTGGTATATAGAGGAGAGACAATCTAACTTGTATATAGTCTTTCCACCAAACAGACTTTTTCAATTTATTTTTCTTATCTCTTGAAAGTCAAAGAAAGAAATATAAACAGAATTTTGAATCATTATTTGCCAACTAAATGATAAAAAAGGATAAATATTTTTTTGAAAAAAATGTTCTAAGCTAAATGTAGAAATAACTATTCGGTACTGCACTATTATTATTTATTAAAAATTAAATAATACCCACTATTATTATTGTACTATTATTATTCATTATGATTTACTTTGTATTAATAATCAAATACTATTTCATGATATACAAATGCAATTTGTTTATAAATGATTATTTTTATTTTATTTTATTTGAATGATTATCAAATTGACAAATCAATTTTCAATTATTCCTATTAAATAATAATAACTTAATTTTTGAATTATTAGCTAATATTATTGAGTGTATATTGTATTTGATGTATAAACTCAAAGCTAATATAAAAATTATGTGAAAATGTCAACTACCTACGGTTAGGTTAGGTTTTTGAATTACAAAATAATTTGTTTTGAAATAATTTTGAATAAAAATTCTGTTTCCATGATTTTACAAAATGTGGTAGGTGTCAACTTTTTACTTAATCCCTAACTAGATTTTCTTTCCTACCAAAAAAGGCATTGAAGTGGACAATTGAAGCATCTTTAATACTATAAAAAATGTCTTCATATAGAAAAAAAAAATTAAGTTCTATGTGAAACTAGAAAAAGCATAAGGAGAACCTACTTTTATAACTATCTGAAAATTTTTATAAGAAATGTCAACCAGCATCATTTAATAGTTAATACATAACATTACTGCATTCTCCATGTCTCCATGAAAAAGGAAAGTTTGACGAATGTCAAATTATTTATTTGTTATAGTTAAATTTAAACTAATACTTTTTACTAATAATGTAATTAAAATAAATGCAAAATGTTTATCATCGTTGACAAACAAAAAATATAAAGAATTTATAGTTATAAGCGGGATTTAATATTGTGATTAATTCAGTGGATTTGGCCTCAATGTAAGACGAGAGGATGAATTTAAACCCTTTGCAAAGGGTCCGATTTTAATCAATCATATTTTATAAAACCCGATGCGTAGGGTATGAGGTTTACTAGTAGCGTTATCAACATTGGCCAAGACGGACTGGTGAACAAATATTTACTAACTTTTTCTACCCTCTATCAGAATATGTTTACATTGTGCTCCCAGCCGTCCTTTTCAAATTTTATTTTTATGATCTTTTAAGGTGACTATAGTTTTAATTAAAGAAAAATTTACCGTTTAAAATATTTTCATAATAATAACTTAGTAAATAATATAAATAATTATCAATACTAATCATGTAATAAAAATATTAAATTATTTCATTATTGTTTGATACATGAAAATGTATCTAGCGGTACCATTAAACATAGTTTATATACCTACTCAATGGTAGTACTATAGAAATAAGTTGGTTATGACAATAATAAAATAAATAGGTATGGGTAACCAATTGACAGGAGAGACGAAAGAAGAGTGCCTATTTAAGCAGTTTGAAAGTGGTGATTTTCTGTCTTTATATAACTAATACACGTGCAACATTGGTGTTTAGACATGTATATTTCCAACGTACCAATTAATCTAGTAAAACCATAAAAAAAATCGGGCAACAGTTTTAGAATTTTTCGTCAAATCTACATGTGGTTGACTTTCCCACGTGTTTTATTTTATCCCACTTAATCTTATGAAAAAGTTATATAAAACAATTTTCATATTTCTATTTTTGAAGAATATATTAAAAACGTGTGAAAATCAATTTCAAGTAAGCTTGGAGAATAATTAAAATCGATTGATATAAAATGTCATATTGTCATGATGTTCATTTTTCAAAACATTTTTTTTTTATGTACCTATACTTAAAAAATGACAAAAAAATAGTATAATGAACAATAAGTGAATAATGAGATACCTTTGGTGAAGGATTAAATAAAGTAATTTTTCGCAGGATAAAGAATCTTCCGACCGGAGGAACTCCGACATTTTAAAACAATAAAAATAAAAATTCGAAACCATATTGATATTTTTATCAGAAAACAAACAATATGTGTCAAGTAAAGTATGGGTTTTGTTTGGATCAAGACGCGCATGCCTTCCCAGACATGTTTGTAGGATTGTTTCCCTTACTAAAAAAAAGAAAAAGTAAAGGATCCAACTTAAGCAATAGATAATGTAGAAATCAAGTAAAAGAAAAGATATAGGTGCCCTCACAGCTATGAAAATATATGTAAATGTTACCTTTTCATAGATTTGGATCGAAACTAATATTTCCCATGGGGCGGTATGACGCATGGCTAACAACCCCGTTGGCTATTCTCATTCGATTTCAATAGTGAATGAGTAAGCACCAACAATTGTGAAAGGTTGAAAAAAAATTAAAAAGCATTCAATGTCATTATTTATAATATAGTATAATACATGTATATTTTTCATTATTAAATGACGTGTCTAACACTAATCAATAATTTAATTTTTTTAATTCTTCATTTTGAATTTAAGTAACATAATGTATTATAATATATCATCATACCACAAACAGTACAAAAAAACAGACGCATTAAAATTAGAATTTTTATTATTTTTACTCACTAAATCATTTTACTGTATTAATATTTGTTTACACGTGTAACTCATATATAATCATGTAATAAATAAAAAAGGAAGTTAACAAAATATTATCTTTTAAATCTTTAGGCTTAATAACTTTTTTTTACCGGGTAAAAAAACTATTCTTTGTGTTAACATTGTTTTCATACCTTAAAATTCTCTATTAATGTTCTTGATCCTTAATATAATATTCATACAGATTGTAGCTAAAATTCAAAATAATCTCAAGTAAATAACTGTACTATTTTTAAAGTAAAACCAAATGTTTTGCCCTTAGATTTTATTAATATTTTAACTTAAATTATATCAAATATATAATATTATAGGTACGTACTGTTTATTTAAAAACCAAAATTTAATTTATAAAAAAAAAAACTGTAAAATGATTTTAATAATATTCGATTTTGAAAATTATCTAAGTATAATTTTAACTGAACTCAGAATAAAATACAAAAAACATAATAAGTACTACTTGAATAACTTTTAGAGGATAATTTCATTTATAACAATAACATACTCCTATACTCTATAGTCTGTGTAATATAGGTCATATAGATTTTATGTTATCTATATATTAATGGATAATTAGTACTACTAAATACTAATCACTGACCACATTAATTATAACAAGCCGTTAACAACGTAGTTACATGCCATGAACTTGGAAATAATGTTTATTTTAGTCTTGAGGGATATTTATTGGTATTTTAAAACAGATTATACATCACAAAAATTAATATTCAATCTTCCAGTAACTTGTATAAGCACAATTCAAATACTGCGAAAATAGCTATTAAATTGACAGCATTTATCAACATTTTCCACATTTCTAGGAAGACCGAGCACCACTTAGAATCTTTCCTATATTAGGTACCTACCGACAATTATTTATCATTATTCATGACTTTCAAATGTAATATGTATTATCACTAGATCATGAAAATGATTTCAACCATACAACATTTTGATAACTACAATATATTTGGAATATGTGTGTGTATGTTCAATGCAGTGCCCACGAATTAAAAATCGAATACATGATTAAATTTAATGACATTTAATGACTGAGACCTTTTAGACACCATTAGCCATCCATTGTTTTCCCTAAAACTTCTAATTACAATTCGAAAATTGGTCTTAGAGTTCTACATTGCATAAAGGTTTGTTCGGATAAAAGCTATAGTTTCCACCACGTTTCCCTTTCTCGGCAAAGGGCAGTGGTAGACAGGAAGTGTAAAAGGAAGGGAGTATTTAAAATGGCGCTCGGCCAATTTGTATTCTGGTCGTTTTACGTTTATCCTCTCCCAAAAGCCTCTAATACCGGGCCTTTTAAAAGGCGTTTAGACAAAATGAGCTAAGCATAGATTTACCCGAGATTATCACAGCGAGAGAATTTGTTTTATATATATTTTAATTATTACAGTTGTTTCATACCACTAGATTAAACAATAAATATAATATCATGCTAAACAAATATTTCCATTTACCTTGGCGTTGACATCTGCAGTTATTGAAATCAGCACTAATAATAAAACTGGCAAAACTATGCGAATCATATTTCTTCAGCCAGTCTGAAACAAAAAATAATAATATTAAAACTATAATAATATATTATATTTATCATTTAAACACATTAAACATTTTATTTTAATTAGAGCACGGCATATAATCGCCAAACGCATTATTTCGACCCCCTGGTAGTGACACACATTTACAAACACAAAAACGACTATCGGGCGTGAGATATTATGGTCACCTCCACGGCCCACGACTCATTCAATGGAGCCGCAACAACTACAGTCAAACATCACATTCATGCAGCATCGAGCAGCTCATATAGAACCACCAAAACTGGCTGTAGCGAATGCTTATAAGTCACATCTAGAGTTCTAGACCCTAGAAAACGGTAAAAACGGTTTTTGTAGTTATACTGAAAGAAGAGACGGACGCTAGACTCGTGATGACATACTGACTGGTAAAATAAATATATTATCTTGGGAAGGAACGTGCTCCTTTGCGTATTTTATATTCTTTGTATATTCTCTGGAAAGCCCCGAAAAAATATAGAACCTCAAAACAGTCTCCGTGACACGCTCACAGCGCTGTGAGACGTATGCGGTGTGCCTGATGAAAAGAGTAAACAGTTTGTGTTTTTATAAGTACGTATGCAACTGCATACAGTCCATGTGTGTCTTCTCGGGCGGGGCAGTAAAGGGGGCCTCCATTCCCATACTTTAAAGCTTTATGTAAACAATAAACATTGTCATATTTTCCTACATTTTGTTTTTTATAGTTATTTTTTTGCACTGTTTCTGATTACTTTAATATTAATAAAATTGTATACTAATGAGTAATGCATATATTATGTATAATATACATGCTAACTACTAATAATAAAAAAAATGTTTAGGTACATTTAAAACAATTTATATTATAATATGGTTTCGTCTTGTGGTTAAATTTGCCTATCTACAACCTCTTAAGACCCGCACGTATTGTCATCATCGCGGCTCATCTCAAATGTGGTTAACATGTTTCATATTTGACTCTTGTTTTTTGCATTATTACATTACTTAACTAGGTAATTATTGTTATTTAAATTTCGTTAAATGGTATTTTAAGTTTTTTAAGTGCCTGATGAAACTATGTAAATTCCATTACCTTCATTAAAAAAAATCCAAGGATTTAATAATATATACTAATTAGTAATCTCTGCGTGTTTCATTGTCTCTAAAAGTTACTTTCAAGTTAAAATTAATATATTTTTTGTTTTTTTTAGTTTGTCAATTTGTACAAAACCTTGAGTCAATACATAAATAAATAGTAAATATCAATTTATTTTTTGCACGTTGATTACTATCGATTTCAGTTAAGGGATGTGGCTTTTAAACTCTTCACCTACTTCAATATAAGCACAAATAGGGAAGGCTCAGTTTTCTAAACAAATAATTTATACCCATTCTCTATGCCCTCTATTCCGTTCAATACCAAATCTAATATTTTATATAGAACTAACATCCCTCTAATTATTTGAGGTAATTTGCACCTACCTAACATTAAAGTCAATGGTGTTGTAAAATGTGAAACATGTAACACAATTTTGTAGATATTGGATATAATAACTGAAGTACTCATTCTAATCTAGTTCTATTTTTTGTATTATAAAACATATATTTAGTATTATAGCATTGCAGAATTTCTAGAAATATGAATACACTTAGAAATTAAATAATATTCATAAATTTATATTATATCATTGCATACCTATACTAAATTATCAACCCAGTTATATAAAAATGACATGGTTTTTATGTAAAATGAAAAAAACATGTTAAATTCTCTGTTCTAAAAGATTGTAATAAAACCTGCATAATTTATTATAAGAACTACAAATAAATCTTAAAATGTAACCACATACTATACAACAGTTTACATTTACACAACATATAAATTGTAAGAATATATCTTTGTTCTGAAAATTTAAAACGACTGTTTTTATAGTATGAAAACTCGAAAGAATTATAAAATACTACAATACGCCTTGTAATTAAACTACATAGCACATATTATACATGTAACTCAATAGTTAATATACCCGAAAACTCGTGTTACGCATCAAATTATTTAGGCGGTTGTAGATAACATTATAAAATGTTTTATTAAATAACATTTTATATAAAATTCAATAACATAGAAAAATGTACATTAATTTTATAGTTTATATGGTAAACTATCCTTAATATAGGTACTAATGAATGAAAATATAAGACTCGTCATTATTCACCAAACGTTTATATTGAAAACTAGCGATAAGTAAAAGACGGTGTGCTTCCAACACACACCAAGTTCACCGACATACAGTAGCTTGTAGGTAGCTTTTTCTCTCTGTTGAAATTACCGATGTACTAAATTGTTGTCATCGTAACGGCTGAATCCCTTCTAATGCTATAAATCGGTTAATTTAATTTCGTCGAAAAACCTTAAAAAGCTAACAACAAACGGACGTTGGCTAAGCGGTCGTGCGCGGAACACTGCGCTGTTGTGCGCCCTGAAAAACTACCCGAAACTCTGACCTTTAGGGACTCTAGCCGGCGTCGTTCCTGCGTTTGACATTCGGCAAAACGCACCGTCGGCGATACGCAATTTTGGTGGGGGTGGGGGTGTGGGAGGATAAAAACGTTCCTTGTTGGTTGGCCTCCCTCCCCTACACACCATCAGTCACCGCCATCGCCTCCACTCGGACGTATATATTATATTGGGCCCTCCACATTACACACACACACACACACACACACACACACACACACACACACACATATATACCACCCACCAAACGCTACCCCACGGACCTACCTAACAAACAACAGCCTGCAATAATTTATTTATAGCATTTGACCGCCTCCATACCAACCACACTGTAGGCAGTGTAGTAGTAAAATTGGAAGAAGAAGTGGTAACAGTGGTAGTGGTAGTAGTGGTAGTAGGCTAAATGTATGTATGTAGTGTAGCACAAATACGACCATCTACCACAATTCGTGGGCCGCAATCGTGTAAAAAGACAAAATCAATATCGGAATGTTATATTTTGCTCCAACCTTCGACCCCTTCCTCCCCCCCAAAACCATCCTCCCGACCGCCAGCCACCTCGCCGACACGCACACATACATAATATCCTACTTCGCAATCGACAAGCACGTGTCGCGCTGCCAAACGTATAACATACAAAGATGCACGCGTAAGAGTTGTACATGGACGGACGGATGGATGGTCTGTAAATAATTAATAAATATCAGACTGTGGAATAAATCATTTTCGGTGGGCAAATGGTACACAAGAACACAATTTTCAATGCCCTCCGCCAAAAAGTCTATGTACAGCAAAAAGCTAGGGGAACGCAAAAGGTACAAAGCTCAAGTTATTGTTAAACTTTTTTTCATTTTTTTCCAACGCTTTGTTATTTTTTAATTAAAATCACTGGTATTCCCTTTTCTGACATCTTAACCGGCAATGTTTAATTATTTTTATTTTTTGAACGGATAATTTTTCAAAATGTATACAGAATACAATTCGTTCAATGTCAAATACGAATTTCCAAAATGTTAAATTAAAAAAAATATTCTGGTATTAGCATTAAAAAAATAATTTGTGAACTATTTTTAAACTTAGAAAGTTGAAAATTATTTTTCTTTTTCATTGAGATGTGATACATATCATACACATGATATAATATTAAACATGATTCCTACCTACCAAATTTCGTTTTTATACTACCTAGAAATATGCATTGCTTCCTCAACAAATTTTGGAAATTACTACTTATGAGTCTTATACTCTTGTCCCTGAATCATTTTCAATGTCAAAACTAGATTTGATTTCTGTAATAGTGTAATAAGTCAACGAGACTTAAGCCTGAATGAAGTGTAGATATATTATTTATACACTTGTGTCATTTTTATTACTCATAATGATTAAAAGTTCTTTAAACGTCAATACGTCATATTATGAACAATAATACATTTTAATGAAAATTATATTGTTTAAATTTCAATAGACTACGCAAACTATAAATGTTAGTGGGTATGGCAGTATATTTGATTTACATAACATGAATTGAACAAAATTAAATTATTGAAACGACTTAAATTTTATATGCATGTCAACATTTAAAAAAATGTGGACTGAAAATTGTATTGCGAACATTTTTCTCTTTGCTTGCTCCAATTAATTAAAATATGTCAAAAAGTACACTGTATTTTTATTTTTCTAAATACGATTGTAAAGTCACGCTGTATGAAAATGTATGATTTATATGATGAAATTAAATGCATTTCAACTGATATTTTTTTTTAGTATAAATTATAAATGCAGTGTATAAAAAGGTTATGCTGAAAAACTATTTTAAAGAAATTATTTCAATAAAAATATAAACAGAGTGCAATGTACAATATTATTATGTCACGAATCTTTTCGCTGTACAAGAAACTGTACACGATTATTTTATTTTTTACGCCTTCTCAAGTGCAACCCTTGTTTTTACTCTCTAGATATGGCACCTGACAGGGTCGTTGGCAAAAGTCACGTTACTTTTTGCTGTACAAAAAAAAAATAATAACTGAGTTTCATTGTGCGTGGTCACGAATCTTATTACAAAATATTCTGGACAAGTTTTTGCCTTGTTATAATAAGGAATTTAATATAACGAAATTATTCAACTTTTAAAGAATGAATAATTCAAACAGACAAAAATAAAATGAATATTGATTATAACGAAAGAGATCATTCATCATAATATATAAATATATATATATCAATTTATGACCTAAAATGACCAAACATTTAATAAAAAAATTACACAAAAATAATAATACGGTTAATTGTAAATAAAAATAATTTATATATATTGCATATTTTTATAGTGTACGTAATAGGTATTGCCATAAACCTATAGAAAAAATAATCTATTTTTATATGTTTACAATCTTATTTAGTTTTTAACTATAAGTACATAAAGAACAAAAATATACAAATTCGATTTAAAATTATGATTGATAGTCAAATAATTATTAAATGC